AAACACTCTGTTCGCTAATAAATGGGTATAGTTCGTTGATGTCAACAGAATGTCAGCAAGAGCTGAATGGGGGCACTGTATAATTTAGTGACCTGGAAGGAGACTATCCGTGATTGCAGAGAGCTTTCATTACAGCCAGAAAAGTGAAACAGAATTACCTTGTAGATGGCAATAACTGGTAAAACCGATCATTGGATCTAGCGTGCAGCTAATACATGGTACAGTGGAAGTTGTTACCGTGACTCTGAGAGGCCAATAAATGCCGCCACATCCATTTTGCAGGTAGGTAACCAAGGTACAGATGGATATGCCAGGAGAAAGACTTGAAACGAACTAGGTGATACCTGCCTGGCATCTCTCTTAGGGCTGTTACTTCATACGTGCCTGTTGTCCACGCTGCTTCGTCTCTGTACCAGTAGCCCTGAGAGACCATCAGTATTTTAAGTCGCATCCTTTCCTCCTCCACGGTAGAGTTAGACAACATCATGGGAAGAGCAGGAGCTCCTTGCAGAAGGGATCATTGTGGTGCAAACACTGTATGAGTTGGTGCGGGGCAGGGTTACAGGGATGCGAACTGGAACCAGAGCTGCAGGGATGGTGGGATTTACAGTTGCTCCCTTGTTTAATATGTCAATGTATATTCCCCCTGTGGTTAGGCTATCTAAGGTTGTGGCAGTCTTTTGCTGTGTCCTGCTTGGCCAAATAGCTCATGCAGTATTGCAAAGAGAGCTTGGCTGTGAAACAGTACCGACCAACAAGCACCTTGCTTCCTCATGCTTGCAGATATCACAAGGCGCTGGTTGACACTGGAGTGAGGAAAACGGGAGTTAAAACATCCCCTGAGAAGCCTCCCCATCTTAGGGAACGACAGAGGAGGTAGACCTCTGTCGGCAAGCCTGAGAGCCAGAGGCAGCCGGCTGGCCTCTGGTCTGGGCACTCCTCCTCTTTCACCAGTGGTGTGGGAGCTTGTTCTGCTCTGTGATCTTGTAGGTAAACAGGAGCTAAATTTGGGTATGGAGGCTGGGCGAAGACTGATGGTCTCAAGAAGTAGCATGTGGTTTTCTGAGACACCTTGGCTGATCATGCGGAGCTTTCCCTGCTGCAGCTTCTCTTGGCCTCATGGCTGTTTGACCTTCCTAGGGACATGTTCAGAGAGTGTCCTCTCACCTGCAGGACACTGGCTGGAGAGGGATCATCCTGTAGCTAGGGCCTTTCTCCTTCCAGGGAGTTAGAAGAGACTTGTCACACTGTTACAATTTAAAAATAATAAAGGGCTGCATCCATGGCTGGTGTAAATCACCGTCAGATCGACTGATGCCACTTGAGGGCTTAAAGCATTGTCTTAGCCTGCAGTTGGTGTTGTCTCCTGTTTTGCAGTCTGCGGCGTGTGTAGACAGTGGTCTCAGGCTTTGAGCGGACGTTAGTCCACTTGAGTTTCCACCAAACATCCAGCCGCATTTCCCTTTTGACCCCCACCTCTTCCTATTTACTGATCTCTGTCCAGCCTTCAGGAGAAGTAGTAGCTCATCAGAAGGTGAAAGGTAATGGTCTTCATGGAGCCTCCTGTTTCATAATGGCTTGGTTTTTTGTTTTCCAGAGGGACGGATGCTGATTCAGGACATCCCCTCCATCCCCAGTAGAGGGCACTTGGAGAGCACGTCTGATTTGGTTGTGGACTCCACCTACTACAGCAGTTTCTACCAGCCGTCCCTGTATCCTTACTACAACAACCTGTACAACTACTCCCAGTACCAGATGGCAGTGGCCAGCGAGCCTTCCTCCAGTGAGGCAGGGGGTACGATTGTAGGGTCGGCTGTCAAAAACAGCCTTCGAAGCCTCCCAGCAGCGTACGTGCCAAGCCAGTCGGGAAAACAGTGGCAGGGGGGGGGGGTGATGTTACAGAGATGTTACTCGGAACAGTGAGGTGGACGATAAGCTGTTTCTTGGGTCTGATTCCACCTTCCTGTTTGTGAGGTTCGCGGCAGTGCAAAACCAGAGCCAGATTCTGAGGTGGGATTAGGACCAACGTTAGGAAAATTAGCAGACACGGGTGGTTACGGTGCAACACAACAAAAGCAATGATACAGGTGTAGGTAGGTTGCTGCAAGCACAGAAAAAAGGGCATCCGCTTGATTTTATCTTCTGAGTTACATCATAGCAGATTTGGGGCTGTTTTCTGGAAGAAGAGTCCAACCGAATTACCCAACGTAGCATCCTTGGAGCTTCAGATGTCATTTCTGAGAGGCTTTGCTCTCAGAAATGGACGAGGCCCTGAGCAACCTGATCTAGTTGGAGATATCCCTGTTCCTTGCAGGGGGGTTGGACTAGATGACCTTTGAAGGTCCCTTCCAGCCCTAACCATTCTATGATTCTATGATTCAGGAACCTGTCCTTGTCCTTCCATCTTTGACGTTCGAGACGCTGGAGTGACCCAGGAGACCATACTGTTGTGCAGTGGTTAGTGCCAGTCAGCTGAACGCGACGTGGCGTGTTGCTGACGGTGCGCTCTGGCAGTGGCAGCTCCAGGGCTTGCGATTGCGACTCAGGTACCTCAAGTCACAGGCTGTGCCCAAGAGGTTTGCAGCAGTGCAAACTAGAGGAACTTTGTTAGCTAGGGTCCAAAGCCAGCCAAGCCCTCTCACTCTTGGATTTGATAATTGTGGCCTCCAACTCAGTACCGGTCGGAGGCTGGAAAAAGGAGAGATCTAGCAAGGCAGGGGATTCTTGGCAGAGTAATTGGAGCCATTTTAGCGACCCTGAGGCTGTTTGGTCTTGGGCTGCAGTGGTGCTTTTCTGTCTGCGATTGAACTGGAGAGGCTATACCCTCTGAGCCTGCGTACGCCTATGTCCCTTGTCCAAGGGCAGGAGAGGGCAGGCCGCTTCTGTAGAGCATCAGGAGAGGGCAAGCTGCCTTCTGCAGAGGCTCTGTTGTGAAACCACTCAACAATGAAAGATTAAATGTCCACCGGAACCTCCTTTCAGAAAGGAATAGATGAGTCGGCCCCTTTGCTGGCAGGGAATTCCTCTAGCGATTCTGGCATAGGGAGCAACTCTGAAAGAGCGTTTTAAGTGCCCATGCCGAAGAGCTGGAAGTAAGACCAGAGTGGTTACAATTACTGTAGCAGTCCACATAACCTTCAGTGAGGCTTTCCTATCATTACACACTTTTTTCTTGGAAAGGTCCCTTCTGAAAACGTGGAGGCCTCCTGGGGCAACAGCTGGCAGGTCCATGAATTTTAAGATCATGGCTTTACAACAGTATACGTTTAGTGCTATTCCATGTGCCTTTTTTGCCATGAGTACAGCTGTGCAGGGAAAAGAGCTGTCTCCCTTCCTTCTACTGTATGAGCCCACACGACAAGAGCTGCTCTGTGTGTTGATAGGCTTCACCACAGTTGCCTCCAAATACACGGAAGCTTTTGCACTACCTGGCTGGTAAGAGGCTACTGCAGAGCTGATGCTTGGAGACACCGTGACAGCACAAACCAGGGGCAGCAACATTCATCTTGTGAACATAAGGTTCTTGCAGGCTGCTAGTCCCACACTTCGCCATTCCTGCAGCCAGCAAAGACTTCTGTGATTTTACTTGCTCGAGGAGAACGGAAGTAAATTACCGGTATTGACTATCCTAGCACATGGTGTTTGAGGAAGAAATACATGAGGATATGTTGAAATATGTTACACCTTGGAACGAAGATGATATCGTCTCGGTTCTGTTGTCATGTACTGTCATTTTAACCTAGACTATATGCGCAAAGTCTTGGCCTAGAGGGTCTGTTGTCTTGCTGTGAGATTGTCTGTTTCTTGTGAGACCTTTGACACCCCTTAAAGAAATAAAAGCAATAGCGTGTTTTCCATGCACTTGTCTCTTGGGGCCCTGCAGAACCTGTAACTAACTTCTGCTTAAGTGCCACTCAAATTAGCAGGATACCAAAGAGGTCATTAAGGAAAAAAGGGGTGATGTTGTCAAAAAGGACCATTTTCCTTCCACCAGCAGGCTCTGAGCACTGCGTGTTCATTCCCACCTGTGGACTGTATCATATGGTTCCATTCACCTCTGTGTGAATTTAGTGATTTACCTCTCCTAAGATTTTAATTTCTTCTGGCCAAAGCTTCTGGGATCTCTCAGTGCTGTTCTGGTGAGATGTCTGTGCAGAGAGACTAGAGGTAGTGCCTTCTGCCTGCAGAGGTGACATCTCCACAGCTTCTAAATGGCCTAAAACCAGGACCCACCTCTCCTGTTCAATAGGGCAGAGTGTAGTTCAGGGTCAGTGTTGTGTAACTTAAAAGCTGTTTCTCAGAATCTTCTGCAAGAAGGATGGTTATTGCTAGAAGAGTTATGAATCATGGGGTTCACATATTGTTAGGACAGCACAGTGTTGCATAAAAAGTTTTAGTGAGAGCTGGGCTAGATAATGTGTGATGGCAGTGGGTGCAGAGATGCCAAGGTTGTAAAACACCGTGTGGCACTGGAGATGGTGTGTTGTGAGGGGAATGAGCTCTCAGTTGCTGCACGGGGTTGAGCATCGGTGGAAGGTTACCAGCAAGGGAAGATCGCAGAAATACAGTGTTAATTGGAGAAGGATGAATGAGTTTCTTTGTTGAGCACAGTAGGGAGTTAGAGGACAGTTTCAAAGTGGGATCTGCAAAGAGGAATCAGACCTTGCTTACACCTTCTGGGGTTTTTGCTGGGAGCTGTGTGTGGGCTGATTCTCTCCCAAGGAAACACGTAGCTGTATCTACGCTGGGATTTTTGCTGGGCTGCCTGTACTGACTGGGTTTATCTTTCACATGCACAGGCTTGTTTATCCAGTCTTAACCACACAAGTGAGTCTGCTCGTGTGACTGGTAGTGCTGTAACTGTTTTTGATTAAGGTTTCTGATTTTTGCTTCTTTACCAGTATGATGATGGCTGTGTAATGCCTGCCGTAACCAAGTCAGGGTGGCTTGCTAAGCTGTGAGCCCACAGGAGGGTTTCTTTGTTGGTCTAAGCCACTCATGTGCTCTCTGGAAGCTCTCCTAGTTTGAGCATTGTCGGCAAGATTCCTGCCTTTTCCAGGCTCCATTGGTGGAGGCTTAACTTGTCCTGGGATAACTGTAACCACACAAGGAGAATTGCATACTTAAAGTAAGATAACTTCTGGATGCAGACAAGGCCTTGAGCAGCCTAGCTGTCTGCTGTTTCAGAATTTAGGGAGCCAGAGAGAAATGCCAGGGAGGAAACGTGTGAGTGTGTGTGGGATGGGATGAGGATTAATGCATCATTGAGCCTTGGCAAATAAACTGAATCACGGAATCTTTAATGTGGATTAATGCCAGATTTCATTAGTCTTTGTTCTTTGCAGAGGCTCGTGTACTTGAGTGGATTCATAGAGGTGCAAAATTTTTTAGATATTTCTGTGTAGGTTTTGTTCATTTGTATGCGGATATCCCAGAAGCTGTGTCCATCATGACTTGATAAGGATAGTGAAGATGATAGTTTTGATCGAGACTCCTTCAGTCATTTATATTCTGCTGCTTTTGCCAGCTCTAAGGCAGATAGTCCAGTGTGTCTGGTGTTGGACCTGAAGAAAAGACAAGCTTAGGTTGGAGAGGAAATGCAGTGGATGTGGTGGTTACTGTGCATCTCCTTTCACTCCAGTTCTATGTGAGCATCTGGGCCCTCCCTTTAAGATCTCATAATTGTTCATTACAACAGGAATTTATGTGCATTCAATACAATTAACAGTTAAATGAGTTCACCAGCATTAGTACTGCAAGTCAGTGTGTCAGTATGCAGTCGAAGTTGGTGCTACTGAAACCAGTCCCACTGCGTCCTGCTTAGGGACAGCAACTGGAAAACGATGAGATGAATGCAGACTTCTCTGCCACAACAAAAGTGAAATCTGGGTGGACACGTCCGAATCTAATTAGGTTTAATTCTCCAAGCTGGCAATGAAACTGCTCACGTGTGACCCACAGCATAAGGATAATCGAGACTCCTTGTGAGTCAGCGTCCTCCCAAAAAAGTGTTAAAACTCTTCCGGTTTCTACAGCTGGACCATTAAAAATTGGCAAGATGCAGAATGTGCCCCAACACCTGGGGACTAGTGGCTGCATTTTTTTCCAGGGATCCTGCTTCTGAGAAAGGTTAAGGTTGGCCACGAGGTTTTGGATAAATTTCAGAATTTCACATAATTTCTGTTTTGGTGCTTTGAGGTGTTTTTTTTCCTTTCTTCCTTTTATTTATTTTTTTTTTCAAATGCAGCTTGGCAAACCAGTATACTGACTTCCAAAACCTCAAATGTTTTGTTCTTTCTTTAAACCAGTTGAGAGCAAAAACCTGAAATCAGTGTCGGTGAGAGTCAGGCTGAGAAATTTCAACTAGTTTTCTAATATGGGAATTACATTTAGCATTTGGAAGTGAAATATTTAGCATTGCTGAGATAGGAAAATGTTTTTTAAGGATTTCTTAAAACATAGCAAACATATAACATTAAGACTATTATATTCCACATAACATTGAAATGTCAATTTTCCTGTCGTTTCAATCAGATCACGCTCCTCTTGCTACTATATCACAGGAATCAGTAAGTTGCAATGCTCTTCAGTCCATCCTCTTCCTTATTTTCATGGCTCTTACAATCTTCTTCCCTAGTTCTGCTCAAAGAGCACTTTTGTCCATCATCCAAATCAGTCTGAAGCAAACAGCTTTGCTTGTGGTGAGATCTTCAGTGCTTGGGAGGGGATTAGTTTATATCAGCTAATTTAGCAAACCTGTCTTTTACTAAATCCAGAAAAGTGTGGCCATGACAGGGCAGCTAGCAGTTTGAACTCTTAAGAATAGCTGCTTGCTAGTAAAAAAGATTGATCTTTTCAACTTCCACAACCTGTTTCTAGTTTCTGGCACA